AATGGATTAAGAAATTATGGCCATTTACACAATGGAATACTATTCAGGTCTAATAAACAATGATTTTGTAAAATACTATATAACATGGGAGAGTCTAGACAGCATTATGCTAGTGAACCAACTCAGGCTCATAAGGGCAAATCCTGCATAAGACCATTATTATAAAAAAAGAAGGATAATTGAACAAATGTGTCTAAACATTCAAAAAGGAAAGGGGTGAAAAAAGGAGAAGGAGGGAAATCATTATGATGGCAAAGGTTAGAGAGTTAATAGGAGAGTGAAAGAATAGGAAAGAATCAATGGAGACTTGAAAAGATGAGTGATAATAGGCACAGATCAATAGTAATTAATTACATAAATTATATATGAATGACTGTATAAAACACAATGGACATGATCAAAACGTAATGTATATGAATGATTGTATGCAAACCAATAAAAATATTGCGGGGTGGGGAGAGAAGAATGTCACATCAGGATTGAAGGAAGATTCATGAACAGTCTGTATTATATGGATAACACAGTCTGGCAGGCTGAAAGTTGGACAACTTCAAATAATTGCTGCAGAAAAGCAAAGATTACAGCCTTCAGTATGGATTGCATCTCACCATCAAGAAGACAAAAATCATCACCACTCAACTTATAATCAACATCATGATAGATGGAGAAAAGAGTGCAGTGGTCAACAATTTTATCTTGGGTCTATAATCAACACTCTTTGTATCAGCAGTCAGATCAGGAGATGTATTCAACTAGGTAATTCTGCTGACAAGAACCTCTCCAAATTACCGAGGAGCAGTGATGTCAGTTTGAAGATTAAGATGCACCTAATTTAGGCCATGGTCTTTTTTCAATCACTTCTCTGAGAGCTGGACAGTGAATAAAAATGACAGAAGACTTGATGCCTTTGTGCTGTGGTATTGTGGAAGAGTACGAAATATTTCATGAACTGTCAAAGAACAAACAGATATATCTTAAAGTAAAGACAGAGTGTTCCTTAAATGGAAAGAATGATGAAACTTGGTCTTAAGTACTTTCACCATATTCCTAGAAGACACTGTTCTTTGGAAAAGGACAGCATACCTGGTACGGTGGGGGGTCAGCAAAAGAAAGACCCTTGATGAGATTGACATGATGGCTTTTAACAGTGGGCTCAAGTGTGTCGTAAAGGAGGAGAATGGCACAGGATAGAACAGGGTTCAGATCTGTTGCTCATAGGGTTGCTTTGAGCTTTACTTGATTCTGGCACCTAATAAGACTAGCCTACTATAACGTGATGAGATTACATTTGAATTTCCCCCCGTGTCATCCATACCCACCAAACTTTTAAATTTTTGTCACTTGAAAGTTACACAAGCATTTGGCCACCTTTTATGAAAAGAAATTAAGAAATAGTAAAGAAATCCTCTAAACAAGTTTGACTCCAAGGTTAGATGATGTTTTAGCAGGGGACAAGGAATATGAAAGCTTTCCATTACTTTAGGAAATTTAAGGGATCAGGGCATTTTTCTACTCTTTAAACTGGAAATAGCCTCTGCATTGCTTCCATTCCGATGATAATTTTAAGAGATATGGTATTAGTAGGAGGGCTCATACTGGTGATGACTTACTGGTAAGCAGTTGCACTGTCAACCCAGAAGGAGACAGTTTGAGTTCGTTAGCGGCTCCACTGTAGAAAGATGGGCAGTCTCAGCCTGTATGGTTTACAGCCTCTGAAAACTTGCTGAAGGTTCAGCTGTTAGTTAGTTCCAATTGAGGGGCACATAACGACAACAGACAAGTATGTCATGAGTGGAAGGAAAAACTGAAAAGATTTCTTATGTGATAGATATAGTGAGCTTTTTAAAAACAATGAATCCATTATTGTGCTTATTAAAACTCTTAACTTTATAAACTTGCTACCTATTATGTGAAATGATTAATGACCCCTTTTTGCCATTGACATCCCAATCTTTTTTTTTTTTTT